AAAGTATTATCTGCCAAATGTTCTACTTTCTGCAGGATCTGTTACCAAGTTTAAAACCGCTGTGGAATTTGGCGGTATTTACTAAAACTTTAAATGCTCTTAATCTTTGACACAGCTTTCACCTTCTAGGAAATTATTCTATAGAATGTACAAAGACATTAATTGCAATATTGTTTGTAGTTTCCACAACAAAGTATTACATCATTGCATTTTTCTTGATGCTACTGTGAAAGTTGTTGTATCCCTGATTTCTCCCTCAGTGAGTTTATTATTTGTGTACAGGAGTGCTATTGATTTCTGAGTGTTGATTTTGTCTCCTGCTATACTACTGAATTTGATTATTTATTTCAGGAGTTTTTTGGTGGAATTTTAAGGGTCTTCTATGTAGAGTATAATGTCACTCACAAATAATGATAATTTAATATCTTCCTTACCTATCCATATTCCTTTTATTTCCTTCTCTTGGATAATAGCTCTGGCTAATGTTTCTAGCACTATATGGAATAGGAATGGTGATAGTTGGTATCTTGTTCCTGATTTTACAATGAAAGCTTTCAGTTTTTGACCATTTACTATGATGTTGATTGTTGTGTGATAAAGACCTTCTATTCCAATTTTCTTTAAGGCTTTTTATCATGACTGGATATTGGACTTGGTCATATGCTTTTCCTGCATCTATTGAGATAATCATGCGGTTTTTGTCCATGGTTCTATTAATATATGTAATAGTACTACATTTATTGATTTGTGCAGAACCATCCCTGCTTCCCTGGAATGAATCTTACATGGTCATGGTATATTATAATTCTTGATGTTTTGCTGTACTCTGTCAATATCTTACTGAGGATTTCTGCATCTATGTTCTGTAAGGCGATTGGCCCATAGTTCTCTTTTTTGGTAGGACCCTTCTCTGATTTTGGTATCAAGGTAAAGCTTGCTTCAGGAATGACTTTGGGGTTGTTGCTTCTCTTTCAATTCCATTAAAGAGTTTGAGGAGTAGTGGCATTAGATCTTCTTTAAAGTTATCATAGAATTCAGCAGTAAATCTACTAGACCTGGGCTTTTTTGTGTTGGGTGTTTTTTGGTGTTGTTTTTGTAATTATTTCTTCAATTTCATTAACTGATACTGTGTTACTTAGAATTTTTATATCTTCTTAATACAGCTTTGGTAATTCATATGTATCTAGGATTCTGTCCATTTCTTCTGGTTTATTTTTTCCATCTTATTAGAGTAAAGGTTCTTGAAGTTGGTATTCATGATCTTCTGGATTTCTGCAGAATTCATTGTGATTTCACCGTTTTCATTTCTAATTGCATGAATTGCATCTTTTCTTTCCTTCATTTGATAAGGTTGGATAAGGGTTTGTCAATTTTATTTAATCTTTCAAAGAACCAACTCTTCAATTCTTTGATTCTTTGTATGATTTTTCTTAATCTCAATTACATTATGTTTGCTCTGTATATAATTTCCTCCCTCGTATGTGCTGTGGTTAACTTGCTCTTCTTTTTCTAGATGCTTGTGGTTCAACATTAGGTTATTTATTTAAGCTTGCTCCATTTTTCTCCTGTGGGAATTCATTGCTATAAATTTCCCTCATTGGACTGTTTTGATTGTGTCCCATAAGTTCCAGTATGTTGTAATGGCATTATAATTTAATTTCTACTTTAATTTCATCTATGACCCATTAGTCGTTAACCAGGGTGTTATTTAATTTTGATGTGTTTATGCAGTTTTTGTGGTCTCTTTTGCCACTGATTTTTAATTTCATTGCACTATGATCTGAAAATATGCATGGGATAGTTTCAATTAATTTGCATTTACCTAAGCATGCTCTATGACCTAGTATGTGGTCTATTTTGGAGAAAGTCCCATGTACAGCTTAAAAGAATGTGTAATCTATTGTTCGGGGTGGAATACTCTGTAGATATCTACTAAGTCCTTTTGTACAAAGGCTTGTTTCAGTTCTGATATTTCTTTGTTGATTTTTTTGCCTAATTGAAATGTCTATTTGTGACAGTGGGGTAGTGAGATTCCCCAGTACAACTGTGTTAGTGCTTATTTGATTTTTCATATCTATTAATTTTTATATAGTTGGGTATGCTGGTATTTAGTGCATATATATGTACAGTTGTTATTTCTTCCTCTTGGATTGTTCACTGAACAAGTATGTAGTGACCTTCTTCATCTCTTCTGATCAGTCTTGGCTTGAAATCCACTGTCTGCAAATAGAATAGCTACCCATGCTTATTTCTGGATTCCTGTTGCATGGCGTATTATTTTCCATCCTCTGACTTTCAGTCTATGGACTTCTTTTGGAGTTAAATGTTCTTCTTGTATGTAGCATATTGTTTGATCTTGTTTCTTGATCCATTCTGCCAATCTGTTTCTTCTGATTGCTGAATTGAGATTGTTTACATTGGTGATTATAACTGATATGTATCAACTTACCAATGTCATTATTTTCCTGTGCTTGTTAGCCTTTCTTTTGCCTCTGTTTAATTGCTCACCTTGCCTGGTACATCGATTTTTTTGGGTTACTTGGAATTATTGTCTTCATTATCTTTTTCTAGAATATCCTTCAGAACTTTCTGGAGTGCTGGTTTAGTAGTCATGAATTTCTTCAGGTGTTCTTTATAATGGAAGTATCTTATTTCTACATCAATTTTGAAAGATAGTTTTGTAGGGTACATTAATCTGGGTTAGAGGTTGTTTTCTCTTAGGGCTTGAAGTACTTCACTCCAAGCTCTCCTTGATTTAAGGGCTGTGTGGAGAACTCTGCTGTGATTCTGATAAGTTTTCCTTAATAGGTTGTTTCTTTTCTCTAATTAACAGCTTTTAATATTCTGTTCTTTTGCTGAATTTCTAGAATCTTGACTATTACATGCCTTGGTACAGTTTTTTTCTAGTCATGGCTATTTGGAATTCTATATGGAAAATCTGTATGTCAAATTTTTTTACATGCTTGAAAAGTTTTCTGGAATTACTTCTATGAACAAGTTTTTTTATGTCCTTTGGTCTATCATCTGATTTTTCGTTGATTCTAATTAATTTGATATTATTCTTTTTTGGATCATCTAGCAGCTGTTGGATTTTGTGGTCTCTTATTATTTTTAAGACATCTTTCATTAGGTGATCACCCTAACTTTGAAACCTGATATAACATATTCACATTGGTTGATTTGGCTTCATATACTTTCAATGGTATTTTTTAATCTCCTGGATATCTGTTTGAATCTGTTTTATGACATACAACTCTTTCCTATGTTAGCTATTCATGGTTTCCCTCTTTTTCCTAAGCTCCTCTAATTATTATATGTATTTATTCTAGATTTACTAACCATTTATTTCATTATGGTCTTCATCTTTTTAATTATCTGTGTAATTATTTGTCTTGGTTTTGTTGAGAGACTTATTTATCTGTTTTATTACTTCTGCTATTACCATTTCAGAAAGTTTAGTGAGGTGGCTTTGTTTCCTTCCACCTCATTGCCCCTTCAATTTGCCTTGGGTGTGTTGGGGATATTGGGTTGCATCTTGTTTCCACGTTTTCTCATTTTTTGTTTGATTGTTTATTTTCTGAATTGAACCTTGTAAATTGCTTGTGATAGATAGCTTTATTACTAGTATTGAGACCTCTCTAAAAATGATTACTTTTCAGAGATGTCTTCTAGGCATAGCTGGCTTTTGGCCTTTGAGTCTGTGCTAGGATCCTGCCTCTTCTGTTTATTAGGGATGAAAGGTTACAGACTGTTTGGCTTAGCATCCAGTTATTTGGTACTGAGCTGTAGTATTGTTAATGATCCCCAGACAATTGGGGTACTAGCATAGAAGGAAGATGAACTGATAACATCAACTGTCATCTTGGCTAAAGTAGTACAATCAGTAATAACAATAGCATCAAACAAAGAGTGGAAAATGACAAACTGTGATAACTAATAATTTACTTCCCTTAACCCTAGATTCAACATATAAAGTTATAAAACAAAATCTAAGACAAATTAGAAAATTACATACAGCAAATATCCCCTCAGTACAGTGATTTTGTCCTATAGGGAGAAAATTTAAAAGAATTAAAAAAAAGTAGAGAAATTAAAGAAGAAACATTAGTTACAAGCAAGGCTGAAGGACAAAGTAATATTACTCAGGTATCAGGACACTGATAAAGAAGATAGGGGAAGGAAAAAGGGAGAAAACAAAAAAAAGAACAAAACAAAGAAAAATTTCAAAACAATGTTCAAATTCACAGAAATATAAAAATAAGCAATAAAAAATGAATAACTAAAAACAAAAGCAGAGAAAAAATAAGAAAATGCTCTGTGATTTCAAGTGTGTGGTTATCTTTGGAGGTCTACAGTTTTATGGCAGTTTCCAATTCAAGGTATGACTGCTCTACTTGGTAGACAAGGAAGATAGTCAAAGCCTAGATCTGTGCTGGAAAATCTAAAAAAGCCAGTAGTGGGTGTGGTGACAGTTTTGGGACTTTCAAATCCAAAAAAATTCAGGTTGAACCTGGCCTTTGGTTGTAGGGGTAGGGCCTGAGTTGTTTAGTGTACAGCTCTCTGCCTGTCTCTTGCAGTCTGACCTCAGCTCCCTGAGCATGTGAGTTTAACATTCGGTGCCTTTAGATAAGGCCAACCTGTGGCTGCTCTGAGTTCCAGGTTTAGTTGGGTCCTCCATAAAATGGCATCTGACCAGGCACCCTCTCCAGGGTATATGGCAGAAACTTGGACTGGAGTCACTTACCAGTTGTTGCAGTGCATGGCATCCACTGCTCTGTTATACTGGTGTATTTGCCCTTGAAGGCCTCTGGGGTCACCCATCTTCACTGTGTCTCTATAGATTCCACCTTCCCTTCTCTCATCACAAGCCAGGAGTCTGGGAGAAAGTGCAGATTGCCCTTTCATTTTTCTGCAACGTGGTTTGTCTCTTCATTTCTCTGTAGGCTCCAATTTTTCTTTCAGATCCTTCCTGGATCCCGGGGAACCACCTCCCTCCTTCTTTTCTTCCTCAAGTTGTTATTTTCCAGTGCCTGTATTCTGAATCATAGAGAAGTAGATTTATTGCTGCTTACCACTCTGCAATTTTCCCAAAAGACCACCCCTTCTTACCATTTTCTCAAGCAGGCCTGAAAGTCTTTTTTTGAGTGTATTTAGTTACACTGTTGTGGTTCTCTCAATATCCCGAGTCAGTTCAAAAGATTCGCATAGTAATTTTGAGTTGGGAAAGAGCCAGAATTTGCAGTGCCCTATCTAGTGACTAAGGTAGATGAAAACACATAATAATACTTTTATTTGACAGAAACTGCTATAAACATTTGATAATTTGTGGTGATCATAAAATATGGTGAATGTTTACAAAACATTTTTTAAAATTATTACAGTAAAAGACACATTGTCATTAATTCCCCCTGAAAATATATATATCTTTACTTTGAACACATTTATCCCATCGTTTCAGTAATGTGGGTTTATTGTAATAATTTTTTAATTTAAAGTTTCATCATATCTTTCAATCACCCCTTGTGTACACAAACAAAATCAAAAGGTTTATTATATAGTAATCCATTCAACTTTATAAAAATACACTTGAAAACTTGGGTGAAATGTACCATTTTCACATTATTTGAATCACAAAATTTAATTCAAGAACAGATTAAAAATTCAAAAATAATTACTACAGCCCGACAAGGTGACATATGTCTGTTATCACACCTCTTTGGGATCACAAATTCAAGGCCCACCTGTGTAACTCATTGAGAATTTGTTTCAAAATAAAAAATTTTTAAGGGCTGAGATGTAGCTCAGTAGTAGAGTATCAGCCCCCAGTTTCAATCCCTTGTACCACAAAAGTTACTATCAATTAAATTGAAATATATTGTCCAAGTCTTCTCAAAATGCAAAAGGTCCAGAAGTTTCAGATAAACTCTACAAAATATTCAAGTAACAACTCCAATGTTATTTGACCTGTTTTATAGCACAGAGAACCAGATTATCTTCTTCACAGTTAAAAGAATGCTAGAGCTCAATCTCATTTATGAATATCAATGCAAAATTCCTATACAAATTATTAACAAGTAAAATTAGAAAGCCCATGTGAAGAAGAGAACACAGGGGAGAGATGCAAATGAAAACAATGCTGAGATTCCACTGCACCTCAGAAAGAATGGCTGCTATCAATAAATCAACCAATAAGGGAGGGAAGGGACAAGGGGAAAAAATGAGACCAAGAGTGAAAGGTGTAGGGAAAGTGGGAAGGGTAGGGGAAAGGTAATAAGGCAAAAGAAAAAAAAATATGAGAAAATGAAAAAATGGAAATAAAGTGTTTGTAAACGGGTAGGGAGGAGGGGGTGAAAGGAGCGAAGGGGTAAGGGGAAAAATGAGAACCAAGACCTTATCATGTAAAGGTACAAGATCCCAATAATGAATGTAACTGTACTGTATACCTAAAATGTACCAATAAACTCAATTTAAAAAAAGAAATCAACCAATAACAAATGCTGGCAGGGTTATGGGGAAAAAGGAACCCTTCTCCACTGTTGGTGGGAATGTAGACTGGTGCAACCACTGTGGAAATCAGAGTGGAGACTCCTCAAAAAAATTGGACTTTAAGTCCCATTTGACCCAGCTATTCTCCTACTGGGTATCTTCCCAAAAGAATAAAAAGCCACATGCCACAGTGACATATGCTCATCCATGTTTATAGCAGCACAGTTTGTAATAGCTAAATCTTGGAAACAACCCAAACGCCTATCAACTGGTGACTGGATAAGATGATGTGTGTGTGTGTGTGTGTGTGTGTGTGTGTGTGTGTTTATAAAATGGAGTAACTATTCAGCCTTTCACAATGATAAACTAGAGACACTTACAGCTAAATGGATGCAAATTGAGGCCATACTCTTTAGTAAAATAAATAGGACACACATGTGTAAATACCAAATAGTTTTTCTGGTGTGAGATACTGAAAGTGTAAATAAGGATCAAAATGTATAATAGATGTGAAATCAGAAGAAAAGGTTCAAAGGGAAAGGGGAAGAGGAAAGGAAAGAAGGGAAAGGAGTAAATATGAGAAAAGGAAAAAATGGAAACAAAGTCTTTGTATATAGAGAGGGGTGAAGGAGTTGAAGGGAGGGCAGGGAATGAGGAGAAAATAAGAACCAAGATACATCATATAAAGGTACAAATTCCCAATAATGAATGTCATCATATTGCATACCTAAAATATACTAATAAACTTAATGAGTAAAAAATGAAAAAAAAATAAAAACAATAAAACAGAATGACCATTTGGGCCCATTTCTGGAGGGCAAACTTATTTTTATGTTAGGAAATCTATTAACATAATTCACTATATTAATAAATCAATAGATAAAAATAGATGTTGAGAAAGTATTTGATCACAGATGTTGAGAAGGTATCTGACAAAATTCAACATCTACTGCTGACTTAAAATACTCTTAATAAGCTAAGGATAGATATATACTTGTCTATCAGTATGTTATTTAAAAGAGTTTGATATTGATGTACAAACTGACAGAGCACCAGAACAAAACACAGTTGAGAAATAGAGAGCCAAATATGTATGAGATTTTAGTATTGGAATAAAAGGCACATTTCAAACCACTGCGGGGAAAGGTTGTATTAAGAAAATGATACAGTGACAGCGGGCTAGACATAGGCTGGATACCTACTACATTCTTTGCATCAAAGTAAATTCTACATAGGATTAAAGTGCTTTAAAGAACCTAAACTGTATTAGAAAAAGTAGATATTTTTATGACTTTGGGATAAGGAAGTTCCATTTAAATAAGACACAAAATGAAAGGATAATTAAAAATGCTTTGATTTATTTGATTACATTGACATTTGAAGTTCTCTGCAGAGAAAAAAAAATCTCCTTATCTTAGATCAACGATATAAACATTTTTTTAAATCACAAAAAAATAACATGAAAGTTTTTTTAATTATCCCAAAGTGGAAAAGGCCTTTCCAAAAAGGACACAAAAAACGGCAGCCTAAAAGAAGACTGAAATATTTAAGTTCATAAAAACTTAGAAAGTCTTCATAAAAAAACACTACAACTAAAGTTGAAAGAGAAAAAAATGCAGTACTGGCAATTAATATCACAGATACAACAACTATAATATAAAGTTATATATTAACTTTATTAATATATAAAGAACTCCCACAACTTAAAAATAAAGAGCAACAGAAAAAATAGGTCAAGGATATGGACAGTTTACAGGAAAGACAGAAAGGGAATTACTTTTCAAATGTGAAAAATGTTAAAGCTAACTTGTAATGAAAGGAAAACATATTTAGAATAAGATGCCATTTGCACTTGTAAAACTGTCAAGGATCCAAAAGTTTGATAATACTATTTTTATGTGCACATGGGAAAACGGACATTTTCATACATTTCTGATAGGTATTCAAAGCAGTATATCCAGAATGGAGATTAATTTATCAATATGCATGGAAATTTTAAATTACTGAACTAGCAATTATAGTTTAGAAAATTTACCCTGCTCTTGTACTCCACATTTGCAAATGACATATGTATAGGGATATTTATTGGAGCATTGTTTGAAATAGCAAGGGTTGGAAAAAAAACAGAGTGCCCATTAAGCAGGAAATAGTTTAATTAAATAGAAGATGATATGTTTATACAATCAACCTCTAGAGGATACATGAAAAATGCTAACAGTGGCTATTTCTGAAGAGGGAAGCAGAGGACTAGAGATCTGTGACAGGAAAGAGATTTTACATTGTACACTTTTTTAGTAGTGCTTAAATTTCTTAGTATATCTATAGTTTATTTAATTTTAAACTATTTAGTAAACATATAGAAATTAATGTATGCCAAGTGCTACCAACTTTCCAAATATTAACTCAGATACGTTTTACAATAACCCTATAAAATAGGCATTATTATAATCTCCATTTAGCAGATGATGAAACCAAAGCACACTAGGTCACATTATGATTTATGGTTAAATCAGCCCTGTAAATAATTTGCCCAAGTTTATATAACCAGTCAAATAGTAGAGCTGGGATTTAAATTCAGGTAATGTGATTCTAAATTCTATTATTTTAACCTCTATACTAGACAAATAAAACATACAGAAGAAGGAAGAGTGTACATGATATGTTTCTAGAAAGAAGGTTGATAAACCCATATGCTTATTGTATGCCTAGACTATCTCTGTCGTATCTGGAAAAACACACATACACACACACACACACACACACACATTTATGCACGCAATATCTAGAGAAAAGGACTGGAAATTAGAGGCCTGAAAGACTTACTTTTTTTTTTTTTGCTTTTTGTATGTATGTATGCATGTATGTATGCATGTATTTATGTATGTATTTATTTTTTGAGACAGTGTCTCACTATGTAGTTGAAACTGACCTGAAACTCAAGTTTTATATATGTATACACATGCCCAGGCTGGTCTCAAACTCAGTTTTCTTCCTGCCTCAGCCTCCCAAGGGCTGGGATTACAGGCGTACGCCACCATGCCTGGAAAGACTTACTTTTTATTTATGTTCCTTTCTACTGTTTCACTACTGGATTTTTTTCTTACCATGAGCATATATTTGTAAAAGAGAAAACAGGGATAAACAAGGTTAAGTAACTTGTCCAAGGTCACACAGATAGTAAAGAAACCAGTAGCATACAAGTACAAACAACTACTCAGCCAATCAATAATATATCCTCATTCCTAAGTACAGACCTTATCATATATCCCTGTTAGATTTTATCATTAAGGGATAAAGGACCAATCAGCGAAGTTCTTTTTATGTCATGATTCTGGATTCACTGCATTCATCTTTATGGCCTGTTTACATCTGGTAAGCAAGTTTTCCGTGTTTCTATCCAAGTTATTAATAAAAATGTCTAACATACAATAGGCTTAAGCAGATCCCTGACAGTGAGAGTAGGGATCCTTCCAGTATTACATCAATCCTTCTCTTTGGTAATGAGCTACCAATTCAACTGATTGCGCCATCTCTACCCGGGTACCTGCAGG